TGACATTCAGAACCTGCATCAAGTAACATATATTTTATAAAAAAAAATTTTTTTGTCAAAATTCGACCTGTGAGGACCACAGGGCAAAATTGAGTAAAAATAGCTGAGGGGGAGTACGATCGAACTCTTGACGAAAAAGATTTTTTTGATAAAATATATGTTACTTGATGCAGGTTCTGAATATCATGTTTATTTTACATGAAACTTAAGTTTTGGATACCGTAGAAGCCCCATAAAGAAGGGCATCCATGCATATTCTATCAGGATTCTGGTCGTATATCGTTGTGAAAAGCAGCTGAGCATTTCAAATGATCTTTATTCATCCAGATTCGAATAGAGCTTGAAAATTTGCATCGAATAGACGCTTTTTTTGACCTTATAGAGACTAGTCTATGTGAGAGAAGGGTCAAAAATCTGATTTTGACCTCAAAATTTAGAGATAGGAAAAATGGTCTTATTTTTCAGGATTACATTTGTGAATTATGAGATAGCAATATTCGTGATTAGTACGATTGACTTGATATCTATAACAGCTTTAAAAAAGTAAATTTTGAAAAAAATGTTTTTTTGAATTCCCCTCTAGGGGGGTACGGAGATCGAAAATCCGGAACTAATTCTAAACAAAATGACCGTGTGATATTTGTAGTCCATATGGATCTGGTCACCATCGTGTAGTTATTTCCTGAAAATATTTTAGATATATCTGAAATAAAGACACAAAAAGCTGTAAAAAATAACGGGTTGTACATAATGAAGGATCGCGCTTTGTATCTAATATTTTCATCACTTCGTCCTATTAAAAAACAAAATACACCACACCATGCAGCATGAAAAAATCTACAATTTACAAAGAACAAATTATAAAAAAGAGAAAAAAAGAATTCATCTTGTACTAAAAAATATATCATTTTCGCACGGACGAAATTCGATTGTTCAAAATTTTGTTCATTTTGAAAACAAAAAGTGCAACTATAAAATAACAGATCTTGTGTAAATTGTAGAGCTGTTCACGCTGCATCTTTTGGTATACTTTATTTATTTAATAGGACAAAGTAAGTGATGAAAAAATAGGATGCAAAGCGTGACCATTCATTAATGTACAATCCGTTACGTTTTACCGCTTTTTGTGTGTCTTCTTTTTTCAGATATATCTAAAACAGTTTTAAGATCGAGTTTTGTAGAGAATTTCAAGCGCTATCTTTTGATAAAAAAGGTGTTTGAATCACAGGGATAATATAGGAGAAATGTTAAAAATACTAAGAGGACAATTCTTTATGACCCCACCCGTTAGTACTGATGAATAGATCATTTTATATAATTCCCTAAAACTCTTATTTTTGAACAGAACATCACATTTTTCATTCGATTGAAATTATCCTATGCATTACAAAACTACTAGTAATCATTATTGAATTAAGAAAAAACTTATTTTGTTTATCTATAAGTTCGTAATAATTTCGTATAGATTAAAATCAACATCATACTGTTCTTCGTTTTTTTCTTTTTGTCTAAAATATACTTTTTAACATTTGACAGTTAGCGATGGTTCATTTATTAATGTTCGACCTTGAGCAACAGCTCTTGCTGCTAATTGATTATGTAATGATGAACGACGTGTTGGATTTTGTGCAATGTGTTGTTTAGCTTGTTCCAAACTAAACAAAAAGATATAAGCAGAGAATATATAAGAAATGAATAATACTCATTTTTATTCTTCATCTTACAACGGTCGCATGGCCCAATGGTTAAGGCACCCGCCTACGGAGCGGGGGATTCCAGGTTCGAATCCTGGTGTGATCGGTATATATATTTTTTCTTTTCTTTTCTTTATAGAAAAGAAAAGAAATAATCTTTATTATCAGTATTTTGTTTTTCTACAGTAACAACTAAACTATTTTATTTTTCTATAAAAGTTGGAATATCAAAAAAGAAAATCAGATTCATTATATCATTTTTCGTTGAGCTATATGAATATTTACATATGTAAAATAGCTCTCAGTGGCTTTAAAATGAAAATTTAAACTGTTCAGATATTCCTGTGAATGTATCATGTATAAAAATAAATAACATGACATAAGCTACGGCTCATATTTGAACTAAAATAAAATTTTAAAATAATCGAAAGAAGAATTTTTTTCATATTCATTTTTGTTCAAGTAAAAAAAAATAATGATTTATCTGACTACATGAACATTTTATAAAAAAATTTAACAAGAATATTCATATTATATTCTGATAGATAGATGAATTTTTTTCATTCTTTAACAACGGTCGCATGGCCCAATGGTTAAGGCACCCGCCTACGGAGCGGGGGATTCCAGGTTCGAATCCTGGTGTGATCGGTTGAATTTTTTTTTTCTTCTCCTTTTTAAATACATACTCTGTTTTTCTTTTTCGTTCAACTGTTGATTTAAGTACAAATTGATCATTATATTCAGATAAATGTGGCCATTTTTCTTTTGCTTTTCGATATTGATCTTGCTGTTCGGCATGTTGTTGTTCATATTCAGCTGTTGTTTTAAGTTGAATTGAATCAAGTATATGATGACGATTTAAATTAAGATTAGAATGAAACCATGTTGTATCATCTTTGAATGAAAAACAAAAAAAGAAATATTTTGTTGTTGTTGTTTTTTTCTACTTACATCCATTTCTTTGTAAATAATATCCATCATTAGGTCGTCCATGATCAAAAATAATTTGACCAGAACGTGCTGTTGGTGGACGACGAAACATATCAATTGAAACATATCTTTCTACAGGTTCACCATCTCGTAAATGTCCAAGTGTTCGTTCACCAGCTCGATTTGGATACCATTTAGGAAAAGCATTTCCTGTACAACCATTATATTCATCTGGTAATTTTGATGTATAAGCTTGTGGTGTAATATATGTATATTCTGTACCACCACCAACAGCACCACCCATACGTAAATGACTCATTGGATATGAATCTGTTTGACGTTGACGATAACATCGAAAGGCTCCTGTTGCTGTTGATATACGAGCTTTATTAAAAAATATCGGACTAGCTGTACGTTCGATATTTGATTCTTGTTCTTTTGTTAAGCATGTATATGGTTCATTGGGTGTTCGTGGACGAAGACCTTCTTCAGTATACTGAAATAAAAAGAAAAATAAATTTAAAAATTATTTTTTTGTAAATATTTAATTTTTACTTTTGAATAAGGTTTAATCAATGCTGTTTTTGCACGTAATATAGATTGACCATGTTGTTTGATATCATCTTTAATTTCAGTATTTTCTATTTCAGTTGAATTAGTATTTGCCATTGATGTAAAAAATAAAATTGATCAATGAAGGTAAAATCTTTATTGATGACTATCTGTTGTAGCCATTTGCAATTCCATTACTTAGTAATAACCTTTAACTAGAAAAATAATCGTATTAATTGTTTATGAAATACAGATAAATAAAAGTAAATTTCAAATCAAAAGATTATTAAAATATTGAGATTCTTTTCTATTTTCAATAGATAACGCTAGTTGTTACGACAACTTATTTCAAGAAAACTACATTGTACAAATTTCGAAGAGTATTTTTATAATAATTTATTTTTAAAAAAATTTCCGTGAATAAGTTTTTGAATTCTTGTCTTATCTATTCATTTCTCTTATGTTATTTAGGAAGATTATTTTCAATTTTCCAATGAATATCGTACAGTTTTATTGATGAGTAAAATGATTATTCATTAATTTTCGTTCTGTTGTATATGCGTTTTGTCGAAAGAAAAATACTTATTCATCAGTAATTATATATCATAAAGGTAACATCATATATTTTTATTTATTTTCTTCTAATGACTCTTGGTGGTTTACTTATCAATCGTCGTACAAAACGACAATATCGTTTAGATGGATGTCGTCGATCACGTAAAAATCCTTTATTAAATTTAGCACGACCATTTTTATCTTTAATAACTAATTCACAATTACCAAATATTATTGATTTACGTTCATTTTTAAGTCCAATTGAAGAACAATATACAGCTGGTTCATGTGTTGGTAATGCATTAGCATCTATATTAGAATATTTTTATTTTTATACAACTGGTCAAATAAAAATTTTTAGTCGTTTATTTATTTATTATAATGCTCGAATGATGGAAGATAAAATATCACAACGAAATGCAACTGAAATAGATTCTGGTGCTGATATACAATATGCTATTATAAGTTTAATTGAATATGGTTGTTGTGAAGAACAAGATTGGCCATTTTATGAACATCTTATTAATATTCAACCAAATTATAAAGCATATAAAAATGGTCAATTATATTGTTTAAATGAATTTAGTCGTCTTTCAAATAATATTAATCAATTACGTCAATGTCTTATTCAAGGTTATCCATTTATTATGGCAATAAAAATATTTTCATCATTTGGATCAAATCATCATGGTTATATATCAATGCCAAAAAAATATGAAAAATCATCTCAATATCGACATGCTATTGTTTGTGTTGGTTATATACATTCTAAACGAATATTTATTATACGTAATTCACATGGAATTGATTGGGGTGATCATGGTTATGGTTATTTACCATATGAATATGTAACAGATAAAATTTTAACAAAAGATTTATGGGCAATAAAATCAATTAAAAATATGAGAATAATATCAAATGAAGAACATATTAGATGGAATGATTTTTCAATATTATCAAAATCATGGAGTCAACAAGATATGATTGATGATCAATCACAATGTGATATTGAATATTCAAATGATGAACAAGAAGAATCAGAACTAACTAATGAACATAGACAATATCAACGTTGTTATTCACAAGAATTTGAAAGAGAACGATCAGCATCACCAATACAATTAGAAGAAAATCATTTCATACAACCATCTTTTATAAATCATCATTCAACAGCTCATATTCCATCGCAAATTACATTTATGAATGCACCTTTAACCCTTTGGTCACGGATCACCCATATATGTGCTTTGAACTTTTGCAGGTATTATGTTCAATATAATATCATTTAGACTTTATCGAAAGGATTCCTCTTTTTTTCTCTGTTGTTGGCAACATTATTGCGTCATCACCTCACATTACTATTTGTATATGTGCTCTCGCTTGTGCTCTGGCGTGTCGATTTCTCGCATGCTACCTGATTTTCGTAAATCGGATGTATTGTCTTTCATTTCACTTTCAACAGATGTCTTCATATAAATAAAACTTCGATTCTATAATAAAAACAACTCACATCTTTGTATATATGTTCTCATCGAATCGAAGTAAATCTTATTATTGTTTGAATATCTATACGAACATTTTATTATTCATATTCATTACAAAAAACTTTTTTTCCGAATATATCAACGTGTACAAATAATGATCCACGTGAAATTCAGTTGGATAGCGAGTACTATTGGAGGGTGGGTGACAGATTGCTTTGAAGTTTATCATACTTTAAAGTACTTTTAAATACGCTTCTATACTAATAAAATTTATTACACCCTATTGTAGAACAAACAATAAAAGATTCTTCTATAGAAAAAAGCCCGTAACCAAAGGGTTAATAGGACCTTTTCCTTATCATTCATCTATGTTTCATTCCACACCTTTCTTTCGACCATTTTGAATATATCTGCAATGTAGTGCAGTTCGTTCGTTTTATTTATACAACATATAGAATAACAATAAATAATTCATTTCTCTTGTATTTGGTTCTATTTTCAATTTAAGTACAAGTCTATATATATATATTGACGTGTACATCAAGTCAATCGACTCATTTTTTTTTGCGTTAACAAGCACAAGTAATGCATGAAGAGAAACAAAAACATTGTTCTACCTAAAAAAAAAATCAATCAAAATGTTATTGTATCATATTTCATTCTTGCTTTTATCATCTCTTATATTTATTGTTAAAGGTCATAGATCTAACATAATCTTCTCAATACTTCTATAAGTATTATTAATACTCGAATAGTAATTGTATTTGGATTGTCTATTCATATTTATTTGTTATTTGATTCAAAACAAATTCTCTATTTGATATTTATTTTTTCTAGAATATATATTAATTCATGTTTTTATAATATAACATTTTCTGTAAAGCAAAAAACAAATGTGAACTTTTTTGTTTTGTTATAGGTTTTTGGAAAATAGAATTTGTTATTCTGATAAAATATCACGAGATGACATTTGAAGTATATTATTACCATAAATATGTTTGTAATGATACATGGATGTTACATTACAATTCAAATATCTTTTCTCTTCCAATATGGCTGTTGTGTGCATAATCGGAATTCCTTTTTTTTTTGAACGAATTCTACTAGATATGAATTCATACAATCGAAATGTGAGTATAGTAACCATTTTTTCCTATTGAAAAATATCTTATTTTAAAACTAAAATGATTTAAGTCTATTCACTCATATTGGTATGACCAGGTTGTTTTGAATACCATTTTATCAAATGAAAAATTAGCATCATTTAAATGTGACTGAAGAGGAGATTCTTTCATATCCTCAACTTATCAATGCAAATCGAAATTTTTCACTTCAGGAATTAAAATGATTTTCTAATTGTCTATAATAAAGATATTCACCAAATGATTGTTGAATTCGATTCAGATAATCTTTTTTTTTATTTTTGTAATACATACATCCATATTTCAACTACCTATCGATGCAACCGCTTTAATTACAATTATTCTCGTTTTTTTCATTTCACTTTACTTTTAGTAAAACATGTGATTGTATGAATTAATTTCTAGTAGAATTCAAATTCCATCTCTATCTGAAAAAACAAATATCTGATCTATGTTGCAATTTCAATTTAGTTCATAACATATGTTCAACGCTTTACTATTGTGTTTTAGACTAAATTATTTTAATTTGTTTTTTTTTCTATGCTCTGATCGCTATGTATATAGTATGAGAATTAATATTGATGATACTTCCTCATTTCTAGAACTGCAAAAAGGATTTAATTCTGAAATTTTGAATGAAAATATTATTGTTTCTTGATCTATCTCACATATTCAATAAGGTTTTGATATTAGTAAGGGCGTTATTTCTTAGATAAGATTCAAAAGGAATAATAATATAAATCAATCAAAAATATAAGAGTGATTATATATCTTTATTTCTCTTGTTTCTATATTGTTATTGAAGATAAACAAAAACAAAAGTAAACATTCACTTATCAAATTTGATTGAAATAGATAACACATATTATTTATCATTTTCATCTGAATTAATTTATCAACTTTTATCTTCGAAAAATACAATTATTTATTTCTATTATCTATTATCAATGAATTTTAGTCAAATTGAACAACATTATAATGAATTTACAAATATTAGCCTTATATTTTCTAGTCAAAAACATCATCGTTTTATAATTGTATTTATTATTATCATTGGTATTCATGTTATGATTGTATGTCTTCTTGCTTTATACATATTATGTAAAAGTCCAGTACCATATCGTCATAGAATTCAATTAGATTATATTATTGATCCACAATTAGCTAAACAAGCAGCACTAAAACTTGCACCAGAACCAGTATAATACAAGAATTATTTTCAATAGGAGAATATATTTTTCTTATTGAAAATATTAAAAATATATGTATCGATGTTTAATACTAATCATTTAAGAAACTAGGTTTATTGTATTTGTTAATTAACAAAAATTATTTAATAAATTCATTATCAAAAATTTATACTCTATAGCAACCGAGAATCATCGACACTTTATCAGTTTTCCAGAATTCCTTCAGAACTAAAAAAAAAGCCGCTAAACGTCATTAATAACATCACGTAGACTGTTCTAAAACATTTCAAAGCTTTTCTCGAAATTTGAATGGCTAGAATACATTTGTCCATGTTGAAAATAGTGCAATTTCTGATTTTTGCGAACTTGAAAAGTTATATTCAAAACACTTTGGAAAAAATCAATATCAATGTTTGCAAGCTCATCCGGATATATAAGAGTGTGTTGAGATCAGAGTCCTACAGGGTAACAGTTTTTTGTATTCTATACCCTACTCTATATCATGTAGAGTAGGACTACCCTGCAGGACTCTGATTGAACATTGCTGTAGATATAAGAAATATGTACAACAGGTTTATTTGCAAGTTAAATCAAATAGACAAAAAATAGATCGAAAGTTCTGTTCGAAATGCAGAAATAAATAAGAGAGATTGGTTCACTTAACGTATTTTGTATTAGTAGAAAAATGCTAAAGAACACATGTGAATTTCACAGGTTACTCTCAATTGAGCTACTCTAATAAGCTCTTTTATATTTAGATAACAAATAAAAAAAATTTCAAGTAAAAATTTTCAATAAATAGAGAAAAAATAATAATCGAAATGATAGTAGATAATAGATATACTATTTGAGTTTATGTTATATAGTAGCTTTTGACTAGAATTTTTATGAATGTTATTTCTATTGTTACTCTTATCATTCGTTAATGATCCTAATACAAACGAATATAATAAATGATCAACTTATGAAAATTTTATTCATTAACTATTCTTGAGTTTTTGAAATTACCAATAATTCTATATTATACAACACTCTTTATACCAGTACCAACACCATATATATCATCATGAGAGCTTAAAACTGATTGTATGACACTGATATGAGTTAATTCAACTAGCATCATTTTAGTATCATAATCAATGAAAATCTCTGAATAACAAGAACCATCAGTATGGTCGGAAGCTGCTATTACAGAATCAGCCTCAGGCATTACACAGTTCTTAAATGTTGCAGTTCATTTTGCATCGTCAGAAATTGAATCATTAATATTAAGTATAAAGTTACATTTTGATGTTGATGATATAGAATCAATTGAATGTGTCGTACAGCGAAGTTTATTTGTTGGTCAATATTTTATAAATAAGAAAATCAAAAATCAAGAAGTACATAATAATTAATGTGAAGAAGATAATAAATGACATGGCGTCCGTTTTTGGAATTCAATGAAATTTGTGATTCGTTGCGTATGATGAGATGTTTGTTTATTCTTATCAATTTAAGGATCTATTGTTGATTTATTTGATGATCGACTTTTCTTAGAGCTACTAGAGAATTATTATATTTTCGTTTTGACATGAATAAGTATTGACAGTTGTCAAGATTATATAATCAAAAAGAAATAATATAGGATTAGATATATTAAAGTTCAATATTGTTAGCAGAAAAAAAAGCAAGTCTAATTATTATACAACATAAAATAAACGAATAAGTTTTTTAATCACTCCGCAAGTGAATAAACTATGCTAATTAAATAGAATCAATTAAAATATAAAGGTGTGTTTGTCTTCTCTGTTAATATTCACATACCTCTACATTCATTGTGATCAGAGATGCGCACCGTCCGCGTCACTGAAGAATATTTTGGAGTGTGGTAACGGAGCGATTGTTCCCCATTTCTCCACCGAACGGTTGCACCTTAATCATATCAATTGTTAAACTCTAATGCTAAGAATTTTAAAAATGGATGTACATTAAATGCTGAACAATTAAGAAAAGAGATTTTATCATTGATAAATTCATTCTTTCTTAGATACCGTTTGTTTTATTATCCAAAATATTAACAATAAAGAATAAGCAAAAATAATTGAGTGTATTATGATGAGAATGTAATATAAATTCTTCTTCTTCTTTTTTTTCTATATTCGAGATTCTATATGAATGTTATTTATATCATTGTTTTCTGCAGAATTGCATTTTAAATATTCAATTTGTGTGAAAATCTTATTTTGTATCTTGGCTCCTGGAAATCTTCTCAACGATAAGATTTGTAGCTGTAAAATTGACCGAACATCTTTAGAAAATTTCATGGAAATCCGATGGATTGTATCGAAAATCGAGTTTAGAGGAGATAGGGACCACTTTAACAACGTCTGTTACTTATTTATGACATCACTATTCATAATCATTATTCCAATGAAAAACTTATTCAATGGGATAAACATTGAAAAATAATCGACGTGCTTATTTTTACACAATCATCTTCTTCTTTTATAGAAACCTTACCAATAGAAATTGTTTATGTTTTAAGAAACAACATCGATTTTTTTTTCTCTTTATTCCAACGACTTTAAATCATGACTAGAAAATAGAAAATGCTCAAGTATTTACTCTATTATATGTTGTATGAATGTCTTATTGAAAATTGTTTACGATCGAACACATTCATACAAAACAGTAATAAGTATTCTACTCAATTACTTTTTTTTTTACGTTAACGTCAAAGTAATATACAAGCTTATCTATTAAAAACATAATTGAAAGATTTAAAGAAACGACACATACATTTATCAAATCGATAAGATATTCAAATATGTACAAAAGTCTTGATGAATTTTCTACTAAAAATAATGAAGTAAGTTTTATTAAACAATAATTTACTTATATAAATCTGTAGATATTTTATTCATATACAAATACTAATAATATTGTTCTATCTCAAAAAGCAAGTCGATTTTGGATACCTTTCGATATAAAATTTTTTGAAAGTAAGAATATTTATCATTAAATAAAATAAAGTAAATATTCTTATTTAGTACTTACACCGAAAAAATATTTAGAAAAATATTGTCGAATAAGTCCTCGTCGATATACACTTTATAAACGTATTTTTGATAAATATAAAGATATTGAAGCAGAATTAAACATGGAAGTAATACATAAAAAAATTTTTTTAATAATATTTTAAAACATATAAAAATTGATAGATTCTTGTCGATGCATTATCTGATGTATATATGGGTACTATTGATAATCGATTTATAAGACAAGTGATTTTTCTACTTGATTTATCATCAAATGAAAAACTAATATTTACACAATTTAGTGGTATTGCAGCATTTTCTGAAAGATATTTTTTTAATATTTTTAAGTGAGTTAATTATTTCATTTTTTTTTTTTTTTTAGTAAAAATTCGAAATAAAATTTCATTTAGACAATCTGATAATATAGATCCACAATTACAAAAAGATATTTTAGAAATACTCGATTTTTCTTCATTAAAATACAAATTATTTGGTGTTAATATTTCACCAACACTTCAAGAAATTCTTAGATTGTTATAAAAAAAATTTTTTTTTTCAACATTTATATTTTGAAAATAAATCAAATATTTGATTTTTAAATATAAATACTCATGCTAAGATTCTAATCTGTGCAACAACAACAAAAAGAAAATCTTTTAATAGAATTCGAACTAATCCATTTATACTTATCGAACAAATACATTAGTATAAACTAGGGGTGTCAGCGTTCCCCGTTCCTCAGCATTCCGTTCCTAGGAACGGGAACGCTTGTCAAAATCGCATTTCACGCTATATTTCAACATGGCGAGGTCTCTAGACATATTCACTTTTCTTTTTATGTTTGAGTGTTCAGCGTTCCCCGTTCCTGAGAACGGGGAACGGAGTAGCGTTCCCCGTTCCTAAGAACGGGAACGGGGTAGCGTTCCCCGTTCCTAGGAACGGAATGCTGAGGAACGGGGCACGTTGACATCCTTAATTTTTATGAAATTGGCTTTCTTTCGGTGAATTAGTAAAATTTCTGTTAAAAGCGAAAGAAACGTATGTTGCGTTCCAGTTTCTAGGAACGGAACGCTGAGGAACGGGGTAGCGTTCCCCGTTCCTAGGAACGGAACGCAAAGTTGACACCCCTAGTTGGACCAACACAAATGTTCCCGGAGCATTTTCTCTCACGACACGGGTGCCGATGTGAGTAGGCGAAGAAGTGACACACACCCTATTAGAAATGAGTAAACATATTTCATAAATAAAAAGTAAAAATCTAACCTATTGAAAAGTTTTTGTATATGAACTGGATTCGATTTTAAAATTGTAGAAAGAAAAAAAATGAAATTCAATGCCAATGGCACTCGAAAATGTTCGACAAAATAATTATCTGTTTATGTAGTATAATCTTCAATTATTAACTAATGAACATTCAGTTCATTTTATATTTTAAAATGCTATTCAAAAACAAAAAACACTCACCAGGGAATCTCTCTAGGTGTCAAATCGTTTTTCGACCGAGACGATGTTTATTTGATGAGTAATAGAAAAGTCTAGAATGATTTGATTTTCTGGATCTTCGTTCTCAATGAAAAATCAACTTTGCACAAGCAAAGTTTTCTACGAGATTAATTCATTGAATAAGTTGTAACTTTTCTAGTATCTCGTAACTTGAGTTATGAAATAATCAAAATTCTTTCATGTATAAAAATTTACAGGAAATACTAGAAAAGCTAAAACTTACACAATCAATTATTCTCATGAAGAACTTTGTTTGTGCAAAATTTAAAAGTCGATTTTTCATGTGAGCACAGCTTTTTGTTGAAAAACCCAGTAAAAGTTCGATATTTCCCAAGAATAAAGATCCGAAAAACTAAGCCATTCTATACTAATTTCGCGAAAACTCGTGCGACAAAAAGATAGTACCTGGACGTCCAGAAATGTTTAACCCGTAGCTATAGCCTATCGGGTCCAAGAATTTTCGGACTCGAACCCAACCGATTAAAATTTGTT